GCGGCGGCAGCAGCGGGTGGACATGAGCCGGGCGGCGGCGCTTCTCCTCTGCCTGCTGGGCTGCAACGTGTGGAAGGCGGTGACCAAAACCCTGCGGGCGCCCGACGCGGCTCAAGGTCGGTGCGGGCGGGCGCGCCGGGGTCCCCGTCCCCGTCCCTGCCCCCGCCCGGCTTTTGTCGAGCGAGTGGCTTTGCTGCACCCCGGGGCCACGGACAGGGGCGCCCCGCGGGGGGTGGGTGCCCGTGCTCCGCCCCCGGCTTTTGTTGGCAGCGGGCGCCGCGCCGCCGGCCCGTGCTGCAGGCCCGCTAGAAACCGGGGGGCATCAAGCCCCCAGGGAAAGGCCGGCGCCGGGCGCCTCTCCCGCTGTCACTGCGGGGCTCAGCTGGGGGAGGGGGGGCGTATTCCAGCATCTGAACTTCTTGGTCCCCTGCCCCCTCGGAGCCCCTTCCCGCTGGTGGCACCCAGGGCCTGCGCCCCAGCCGCGCCATGCACCTGTGCTGGGCAGGTGAGGCGGGCGCGGGGGCCGCCGTGGGTGGAGGGCAGCCAGTTGCCCGCCTGCTGGTCCAGCTTCCAGCCTGGGTTTCTGTGCGGCTGCAGTTCTGTCCCTTGCTAAGCCTCTTTGGGCCCAGCTCCAGGACTGGGGTCTGCCATAGCGCTTTATTTGGGAAGCTGGCCCTTGTATTACAGAGCAGAAACCTCAGCTGGCTGGTGGTCACTGGCCTGCTATAAGGACCTGCCACATGGCTTGGGTTGGGAGCTTAAAAAAATGGTCAGTTAGTGGCCTATAAACCACATCTGGCCTTCAGGTTTTTGCTTAGCCTTCATGAAGCAGTGTTGTTTAGCCTTCATTTTTGCAATACCCTTCCATAACTAGGTGAGTGGGAACAGGATACATCAAGGACATAACTTTGCCCTGCTTCTTTCCCATCCCGTGCCCCCTTTTAAGTGACAGAGTGCTGTTTTTCATTTTTTTTTAAATTACATTTTTAAAGATTATTCACTTGAATGAAACTCATTTTTTGCTGTTTGTGTACAACAGCCAACAAAAAAAAATACCCTGTAGTCCCATGGTTTGGTATCAAGTAATTACAGTGTTGATAATCTTGCAGCAAAACCTATATTAGAAAAAGTTACCTTAAAAGGAGGGCTTTACTATTCAGGGCTTTTGCTAGTTCTTATTCTACGCCAAATATTTTGTGAAGCTGTGAGTTTGGGGCACGTAAAACAAGATTTGCATTGAATTTGTTCGTGGGTGTGTCAATAAAAACAGAATTACAGGCAGCCTTAGAAGGTAACACTTTAAAACGGGATTTGATTGTATTTTGGCCCATAACCAATGTGGTCATATGGAGGATATTTACTGGATGTATATGGAACACTCAAGTGTTCGTGAAATGACAGCGCAGTGGTTTTGTCCTTTCCTTTCCTCTCTTTCTTTTCACTGTCAACTCTTTTGAAGCAGCTGTTTCTTAACTCTGCAGCTGGAAAGGCTAGTGGCTGAAAGAGTTACAAACTGACTTAATTTTTAAATTGTGGGAGGGTTTTAAAGACAGGGAGTTGGCCATTTTATAGTAACAATACTTGACAGCCTTTATTTCGACTTGATACTTGGCTACTTCCTGCTGTATTAGGTTGTGAGTGAAAAAAGAACAGTTGAATGGAAAACAAAATAGATTCACCTTCATTATATGAATATTGAGCTTTATCCTTGTATAGTAGTCCACTTAAATTACTGCTCATTTTTCCTGTAATAAGTGTAGATATGTGCATTAAAGGATAAACCTGTGGATGTTCGTTTACCATTACATTGAATCTAGTTTAGATGAGGTTACTAGTGACCCACAAGGCTTTTGGGAAGCTTATGTGTTACAAGTTTGTGGTCTTAGTCAAGCAGCAGGTATCTACATCTCAAAAACTACTATTGCACTTGTCAATGATTGGGTCTTCTAGTGCTGAATTTATGAACAAGGGTGAATGCTTACATGGTTATGGATGATGAGTTATCTCCACCCCTTGCACCCCCCACCTTCTCTGTACCTTCCAGCCTTGGTCTTTGTAGTGGGCTTTTCAGATCAGATTTGAGGCACGTTGATGTGATAGAATAGAAAAATTTGCAGGTGACTATGCTATATTTTTGTGATAACAGCCTGCTCTGGGTTGAGACGAAAGTAGCTATGGGAAGGGTAAGAGATGGGAAGACCAAAGACTGATTGAAGTTGGTGAAGTAAATGTAGAGATCAGGAGGGCAGCAAGAAAAACTATGATGATGAATTACTAGTAATTCCATCAACTAGAGATTACATATTCTGTACATTATTTGTCTATGCTTCAGTGAGGGGTGGCGGATTAGATGAGATTTTGGTTAGAAATCGCCAACTAGACCAGCTGAGTAGAAGTTAAGCATCATGCGTAAGCATAGGGTTACAATTGGTACTTCAGTTAAGAAATGGGTGAAGAGAGAGACTAGTTTTCTTTCAAGCTTCCCAGTTTGACATTTCTTCCTCCCTACATCAGCCCCGCATTTAAATGGTTACAAAGTTCAAATTCTGGTCAGGCAGAATGATTCCACAATTCTATGAATATAAAAGGTACCAGTAATGAAGTGCTGTATTTAGCACCCTCCTTAAGAAGATAGGGTGGCATTAGGACTTGCCTGGCTCATTATGTAAATAGTTGGATACATTATGCCTCTGAGGATGGGCTGCTGAGCTGTAAAGATTAGAATTTTTTTTAATCTGCTACCTTTTGCAGAATACAGTAAAAGCCACACACTTTTATTCAATGAATGTTTATGTTTATGTTTAATGGCTTAATCAAAACTTCATCAGGACATTAAGATTAAGTTTAAGAATTAGTAGAAAGTACATTTTGGAGAATGTAAGACTGCTTAAAATTGAACAATTACTTTAAATGAGGAATTAATTTCAGGGTTTTTTTTTAAAATAAATATAAATATTGGCTGTATTTGTAATAGAAATTGTGTTGAATAAAACAAAATAAGATGGATGTGGACTTGGGGTTGAATAAAACACAAAATGTTCACATGAATCAATATTTTGAAAGTTTGAGGTTTGTTTGCTTACACCTTGCCACTAGTTTCAGAGTTATCTTAAGTGACAACGTAAACCTGTGGACAATTTTAGCAAAATCCATTTAATTTGTGAAGGGGTTTTTTATTTTCTGTCTGTGTATCATAGTAACATCTTTATATATAAAGATCTTTATATATAAACACTTAATGTGGGGTAACTGTGAAATTATTGTTTATTTAACTGTGGTAGCATTTCCAGGATTACATATTGGACAACTCCTGGAAAACCTTACTATGAGCCATGTGTGTATCTGATTCTGTCTAGGCCTTTTTGCCCTAATTTTTAGGACAGTAGTGCATGGTTCATTGGAATGGTTGACTATAACAGTTAACCTGTTCAGAAGCTACAGCCATGTTGGAGTGACTTTCAGCTACGACGGGGGTCGTCAACGTTTTTGGGCAGAGTATCAAAAGCACCTGCAACCTTGACTTGTAAGATGTTGGCATGCTGGGGTAGACAATGGGGCAGCCACAAGGGGCCGAATCCGTGTTGTGGCCGCACAGCCTTGGCCTCTTCACTGCCATCCGCCCCAAAGCATGTGTGCCAAGCAGAATGCCTTCACATGCCATGCTGTAGCGCATGTGCCAGGGATTGCCTACCCCTGAGCTACAAGAATGTCTTGGCACTAGAAAGAGCTTCTGGATGTTCCCCCTCCCAGTCACAAAATTAGATGAGATAAACTGGAACTGCTTAGTAAGATCGTAAGGAAAGAGTTAAGTTGGTATTTAAGTAGTCTAATTAGGTTTTGCTTTAGATAGATGGGGGGTATTAATGCTTCTGTTTTGTTTCTAGCTGGCAGGTTAGCTTATTTCACAACCAGAAGGACTAGAAATGTCATGAAAGTTTATCTTCTGGAAATTGGAGTAAAAACTGTGGAGAGATCCTGAGTTTTTGTGTTTTATGTGTCACATTTCCCAACTTGTCATTTTTAACCTTGGCAATAGTTATTCTTGGAGTCAGGAGTAAAACTGAGACTGTTAAGTTGTTTTGCAATGCAGATGTTGATCTCCAATATTGCATCAGATCTTCTCAACAAGTTGCTAATTACTAACATCCTTCAAAGAAAGCCTTACTTATTTGGGACTATTGTAATTTACTCCTGGCCATATGTGTCACAGAGTCCTGAATTACTGTACTACTTCTTTTCTAGGAAAAACCGAGTGGTGTTCTATGTTGTTTGTTTCTTAAATAGTGCTCTCTAAGATGGTAATGTGGACACAATGTCATTTTAATATTTTAGCTGATCAAAAATAAACCCTAGGTTCTCCCAGTGCTTACATCAAGCACCTTGTCTACAAGAAATTGGGCATTGCTTTGCCTTTCCTCTCTCCTTGCATAGAAGTTCTGGTGATGGGAAGCAGCTACCAGAACTAGGATGCCAAAGCACGTAAACACCTGCATGCTTAGGGCAACTCTGTTGCAGAAGCAATACCAGCAAAGCATGATGTGCAATTCAGGGAAGGTACCAACTACTGAAGGGTCATCTACAGCTAGGTGATGGTGTGGGAGTGTGTGCATATTTCTGCTGTTGGGCAGCAGCAATGACTTGTTCTGGTCTGCAGAGGTGATGCAAATCTGCCAGCAGAAAGGAAGGTTCTGCTGTCGCATGAATTCTGTGAATGTGCTCATAGTTCTATCAGCAAACTTTACAGCACAGACTGCAAGGCTCCAGAAAATGCCTCATCTCTATTACCAAGTTCAGCTGGAAGAGCTATGTCAGCTCTGCTGGCAAAGCCTCTGGCATGGGTTGAGCTTTGCCAGTAGGAAGATGCTGTTGCCAGCAGAGTTGCCATCATTCAGGAAAGCTCTGACTCTGAAAACAGAAAAGCCCTCTCGGCAGGCATAGCTGCATCTACATCAGAAGCTCAGCCTCCTTTGCCCTGTTGCCATAGTCAAAGCTGCACCAAGTCTTCATAGTTGCAGGCATGTTAAATATATATATATTTATCATATCCTAAGAATTAGAATGTGTTTCTTGGAATTTTTAGGACAACTGCTCTCTGTGCAAATATTTTATGAAATGA